GAGAAATGCAAATCGAAACCAACATGAGATACCACTTCTTACCACTCAGATAGTATAACTAACAGGACAGGTAATAACAAATGCTGGCAAAGATGTGGGGAAATTTGAATCCTACTACATTGCTGGGGGAAATATAGATGAGTGCAGCCACTTTGGGAAACAGCCTGGAACTTGCTTTGAAAAATTAAACATAGAGCTACCATTGGATCCAAAAAATCCACTCCTTAGTATACATGCAGCAGTATGAAACCATGTGTTTAAAAAAAGAGTACACAAATGTTCCTAGTGGTATTATTCAAAATGGCAAAAAGTGGAAAAACTGAGAAGTTCAGCAAGCGATAAAGAAACAGATGAAATACAGTGTGTCCCATTAGCAACAGTAGCTAAACTATGCAGAGAGCCCCAATGTCTACTGAGTGATGAATGGAGAAGGAAGATGTGGTATGTATATACACACAGGAATATTACTCAGTCATCAGAAATATGAAATCTTGCCATTTGAAACAACATGGATGGAGCTAGAGGGTATTATGCTAAGCAAAATAAGTCAGAGACAGACAAATACCATATGATTTCACTCATATAGGGAATTTAAGAAAAAAAAATGAAAGTATGGAAAGGGGTGGGGAGGAGAGAGGGAAACAAGCCATAAGAGATTTAATGATGGAGAACAAACTGAGGGCTGATGGAGGGAGGTGGGTGAGGGATGGGCTAGGTGGCTGAGGAATATTAAAGAGGGCCCTTGTGATGAGCACTGGGTGTTGTATGTAAGAGAAGAACCACTTCTACTCTAGAAACCAATATTTCTTTGGATGTTAACTAATTAAAATTTAAATTAAAGAAAAGAAAGAAAGGAAATATTGTATGTCCATATAATAGAATAGTATTTGGCAATAAAAAACGAAAGAAGGTCTCATATATCTACAACATGAAGGAATCTTGAACACATTGTACTAAGTGAAAGAACTCAGTCAAAAAGACCACCTAATGTAATTCCATTTATATGAATGTTCCAAACAGGCAAAGCAGAATGAATAAGTCATGATGAAAGGTACAGCATAGGAAATGTAAGCAATGGTATTCTAACAGCATTGTGTGGCATCAAATCACTATGTTGTACAATCGAAATTAATGTAACTTAGCATAATCCAGAGAAAGACAATTAACATATGATTTCACTTATATGTGGAAAATAAGGAATAGCATGGAGGACATTAGGAGAAAGAAAGGGAAAATGAAGGGGGAGAAAACAGAGGTAGAGGTGAACCATGAAAGACTATGGACACCAGGAAACTGAGGGATCTGAGAAGACAGGGGTAGGGCGATGGGTAAGCCAAGTGATGGGTATTAAGGAAGGCACATTTTGTGATGAGCACTGGGTGTTATATGCAAACAAAAAATAATGGAACACTATATTAAGAAAAAAAAGAAACTAAGGTAGCATTGTGTGACAATAATACATCATTTAAAATTTTTTAAACAATATTTTCTGAAAAAAAGTGGTTTCCTACAGCTAGGGGTTATGGGAATTTACTGAGAATTGGATACTGAATGTGTGGGGGTTTCCTTTTGGGGTGACAAAAATGTTTCAAATTGATGGTAGTGATGATCACATAACTCTGAATATACTAAAGACCAATGGAATTGTGTATTTTAAATGGGTAAATTTAATGGCATGTGCATTATATCTCAAGAAAGCTGTTTGATTACAAATAAAACTAATATCCAAGACACAAATCAAAGGAGGAAGAAGAAGTAAGGCTCACATTTATTGAGCACCTGCTATGTCCTGCGTGCCGTCACACTTCTTTAGCAATCATACTAGGTAGTCACTGTTAACCCCATTGTACAGATGGAGATATGGTCATCCTTCCACCTTCTTCTAACACCACCTTCACACTGGCCACTTAGATGCTGGAGGAATAGAGTTTGCTGAGGAAGGTCTTCCTCATGGCAGTCTTTAGCTCCTTGTTCCTGAGACTGAAGATGATGGGACTGAGGAAGGGCGTGAGGACCGTGTAGGTGATGGCCATTAGGGTCTTACTTTCCTGGGAGTGAAGACCCTTGGGCTTGAGGTAGATGATAGAGGCAAATCCATAGTGCACAATGACCACAATAAGGTGGGAAGCACAGGTGGAGAAGGCTTTGTGCCTGCCCTCAGCAGAGGGGATCTTCAAGATGGTGGCCACAATTAATGTGTAGGAGAGGAGGATGAGGAGAAAGCAGCCCAACAATACAGTGATGCACATCAGCCCCACACACAGGGCCACTATCGGTACATCAGTTCCACAGGCCAGCTTCAAGAGAGGGGGCACATGACATCCAAAATGCTGGATTTTGTTGGGACCACAGAAGGTGAGATGGAAGATTGCTGTGGTCACCACCATCCCTTGGACCAAGCCACCAACCCAAGACCAAGTCACCAGGCAGGTGCAGCCATGGGGGCTCATGAGCATGCTGTAGCGCAAGGGGTGGCAAATGGCCACATACCGGTCGTAGCCCATGACAGTGAGCAGGAAGGAGTGGGTGAAGCCGAATGTGAAGGAGAAGAACATCTGGCTGGCACAGGCTGCAAAGGTGATGGTGCGGCGGGAGGAGAGCAGGTCAGCCAGCAGGCGCGGGGTGATCGTCAAGGTGTAGAGGATCTCAGAGATGGACAGTGCACACAGGAAGAGGTACATGGGTGTGTGCAGGCTTCGCTCACTCCAGACAGTGGCCATGATGAGCAGATTCCCCAGCAGTGTGAACAGGTACATGAGCAGGAACAACAGGAAGAAAATGGGCAGGAGATGTGGTGGGAAGGTGGAGAAGCCCACGAAGATGAATTCAGAAACGGAGCTGTGGTTTAGACCCAGAGTGGCAGCCATCCCTGGGTGGGGAGAGAGCGAAGGCGACCTGGTGTGCAGGAGCTCTGCGTCCAAACTGAGCCTGGCCCAGGAAGACTTCCGGGGGTGGGGGCAAGGAGCCCTCACCCTGCAGAACATGAGCAGTCCCTCTGCCACCCGATGTTCATGATGACTGTCAGAGCACCTGGGAACTGAATGGGATTCACAGAAGATCATGAGCCTCAGGTGCGTAAGGCATGCCCTGGAGCATAGTAAGAATTCAGTAAAAAATAATACTGATAATAATAATTACAACTACTGTTATTACTGTTATTGACTCCATGCACAACCACCTGTCTTTCCTGCCTTTGAGCATGCTGGCCACTTCATGCTTTTCTCCAACTCTGTGATTCCAAATCATTCCCAATTTTAAGTGCAAACTACTCCCTAATTGCTATCGTCAGCTGGAAGGCACCTCTCCCATGTGGCATGTAGAGCAAGTAGGCTCTGTTTAATTGTGAGCATTGCCCCTACTGGCACTCTGGGAACATGGAATAATATTCCTTATTCCACAGGGTTGTAGAGGCACTAAGGTGAGATGTGCATATTCAGCTCTTAGGTACCATTGTTGTTGTGTGGTCCTACTTGTGTGAGTCCCCCACAAGGATGTGGCACTGACCAGCATCACCAGATCACATTCTCCAACCCCTGCTGGGCACTCTATCTCTGGTCACTTAACAATGCAATTCACTGAATCTCCTTTTAGCTCCTCAAACCCTACCCACTCTCCTATCCCCAAATGCCTGCTTCGTGGAGCAACCAATGCTGGCAGCTGTGGGTTCTCTCATACCCTTCTCCAAGAGGCAACAGACTCACATCTGCCCCAGCTCCCTGTGAGGACAGCTCTCCTTCCAAGCATCTGCTCCATCCAGGGTTACTTCTCTGTCTTTCTGTCTCTCTGTCTTCCTCTCTCTGCCACCAACAGACGTGATGCAAAAATGCAACACCTTTTTAACAATGCAGGATGCATCAACCAAAGAATGGATAAACAAAAAGTGGTATATCCATATGATGGAGTATCTTTGAGGCATACAAAAGCATGAAGTGCTGACACACATTACAACATGCTGAGACAATATGCTGAGTGAAAGAAGCCATCCACAAAGACCACATATTGTATGAGTTCATTTATTTGAAATATGCAGAATAGGTAAATGCATCAAGACAGAAAGGAGATTAGCAGTTGCCAGGGACTGGGAGGAGGATGGAATGGGGATTGAATTTTATTTTTTTTTATTTTATTTTTTAAAGATTTTATTTATTTATTTGACAGAGAGAGATCACAAGTAGACAGAGAGGCAGGGAGAGAGAGAGAGAGAGAGGGAAGCAGGCTCCCTGCCTAGCAGAGAGCCCGATGCGGGACTCGATCCCAGGACCCTGAGATCATGAGCTGAGCCGAAGGCAGTGGCCCAACCCACCGAGCCACCCAGGCGCCCCGGGGATTGAATTTTAATGGGTTGTAGATTTCCTTCAGGGGTGGCGAAATGTCTTGGACCTAAATAGAGGTGTTGGTGGCCCAACACTGGGAATGTCTAAATGGCACTCAGTTGTGCTGGAGGTNTCTAAATGGCACTCAGTTGTGCTGGAGGTAGAGAAAGTGGAACTCTGAGCATTGTTGGTGGGATAGCACAGTCGTGCAACAGCTATGGAAAACATTATGAATGATTTTCCATCCATAAATTAAAAATTAGAAATAGAACTACCTATGCCTCAGGCATCCCACTTCTGGATGGATTGCAAAAGTGGCATAAGCAGGGTCTGGAAGACAATATTTGCACACTCCTGGTCAGAGCAGCACTAGCCACAAGAGCCCTGAGGTGGAAAAAAACCCATTGTTCATTGGTGGATGGATGGATAAACAAGTTGTGAGATATCCGTACAATGGAATATCATTCAGCCTTGAAAGGGAGGAAATCCTGTCTCATGTTATAATACCAATGAAGCTTTATGCTCTATGGAATCAGCCAGTCCCCAGAAAGGAGAAATCCTGTATGATCCTACCTATCCGAGGTACCTAATTCAGTCAAATTCATAGAAACAAAGTAGAATGGAGGTTACCAAGGGCTACAGGGAATGGGAAATGGAGAGTTTTGTTTAATGGGCGTAGAGTTTTGATTTGCAAGGTGAACTGAGTTCCGCAGATCGATTATAATAACATGAATACACTTAACACCACTAAACTGCATACTTAACAATGGTTGAGGTTGTGTGTTTTTTACACAACAAAGTTTTATGCTGCGTCATAAATGAACCTTGAAAACATTCTGCTATGTGAAAAAAAGGCAGGCATGAAAGGTTGTCTGAAGAAAAGGTCGTCTGATTTTGTTAATATCAAACACCTGAGATAGGCAAATTCATAGACATAACAAGCAAATTAGGGGCTGGAGCCCTTGCTGAGGGGCCTGGGGAATGGGTAAGTGACTACTAATGAAGACAGTGTTTCCTTTTGGGTGATGAAAATATTTGACAACTAGAAAGGGGTGGTGATTGCACAACATCATGAATGTGCCAAATGCAAATGATTTGTACAATTCAAAATGGTTAATTCTATATTATATGAATTTTGCCCCATTTTTTCTTTTGGAAAATAAAACAGGCCTTCCCCGGTGCTCCTTTACTTCTGAGTTGTCTCTCCCTTAATTTATAGCCCAGCCGGTCCCCAGAGAGACAGAGAGTGAGTGTCTAGGGCCAGAGGGGAGATGAGGGAAGAAGAACCCACCACCTGCCCTCAAACCTACCTGTGCCTTCCAGGGCAGCCACTGAGCCTCTGCCCAGGTGTGTGTGAGAACAGAAGGAGAAGCACCTCAGAACAGCTCTTCTCAGGGGTGGGTGGCCTCCTGTCTCACAGACTGGGATCTGGGCTCCCCTGTGACTCACAAACACCTCCATGTGGGCGGTCCCACACCTCCACGTACCTGCATTCCACTGCCACTCATCCCTACAGGCACAGCTGCCTTAAAATCTAACACCAGATAAGCACCCAGCAGGCCCATAGGCACCTAAGCCCTGCTGTCAGCCCTGTGCACTCACACAGATGTGGAGACAGGGTGCCGGGTGGACCCACACAACCACAGAGTCGCCCCACGGGCACACCTGCAGGTGCACACAGACCTACACTCTCCCAGTAGGACACAGCACAAGCAGGAAGATGGTGACTAACGCTGGTGTCCCTGACACACAACCTTCCCGCTAAGGTCTGCAGAGACAGCCAGGAAGTGCACAGGACACTCATGGTCTCGCGTGCACGCAGCCCAGCCTGGATGTGCAATTCCGGATTAGAGGTCTCTGCCCAGGCATTGTTTGCTTCAGACTTCATTGGGCCGGGTTCTGGGTCCCAAGATCCACCCCAACATTCTTATTACCCACAGTCTTTCCCTGCATCCCACGCTTGCATCACCTCCTCCTCAAAGACACCCAGGGGCACACACTCGCCTCTGTTGTTGGCAGCGGGGAGCGGTCTGGGGGCATCACAGGGGAAGCCCAGGGTGCCCTCACTGGCACTCAACACCAAGAGCTCAGAAGTGGGGTGGGCAGGGTGGGAGGCTGCACCTGCACTTTATCTAGCTGTACTCCAGTNGGCAGGGTGGGAGGCTGCACCTGCACTTTATCTAGCTGTACTCCAGTGGCATTCCAAAGGCTTCCCAGGGGGAGGCGGGCTGCTGATTCAGCTTGTGGGCGGGGCCTCCCTCAGGCCTCAGAGTTGGGCGGGGAAGGACTCAGGAGACTTCCAGAGGCTTCTCTGAGACCCACTGTACCTGCAGCCTCCAAACCTTCCCTGAGGCCTCCCAGCTGGTCTGTGCAGAGGATGGTTAAGTCTGGAGATGGAGGTGACAAGACAGAGGAAGAAATACAACAGGAGGCTGGTGTCCCTCCTCTACTCTCTGAGCATACTCCTTTGTTCTCATGCTTGCTGGACTAGGCACACTCCATTCCCAATGCTCAGGCTCCATCCACACCCCACAAACAGGCACCCCGAGCTCTCTCAGATAGGAAAGTGCAGGTTCTCAGAGCTTTAGTGAGGAAATCCTGGGTCCCAGGCCCTGGGACTGGTCCAGAAGAGCTGCTCTCTGGCCTCTGCAGAAGCAGAGCTGTTGGGCCAGAGGTGGGATCTCTATGACATGGCCCCTGCTCTGGGCCCAGCTGCTCCAGGCTGAGGTCTGAGGGAGGGAGGAGGCAGTGCCACACCATCACAGTTACCAGCAGGCAGACTTGCCTTGCACTTGAGGAACAGTGCAGCTCAGTGTCCACTCACCTCCCACTCCCTTGTCAGGGCCCTCTGCTTGGTGTGAACACATCTGACCTAGAACACAGTACCTGCCCTTGCATTAGTTTCCTGGTTCACGGGGACATATCGCCACAAACTGGGGTGCTCCAAACTCCAGAAATGTGCTCTCTCACAGTTCTGGGGACCAGGGTTCAGCAGGTCATTCCTTCTGGAGGCTCTGAGGCAGGATCACCCTATGCCTCTCTCCTGGCTTCTGGCGGCTGCCAGCAGACTTGACTGCATCATTTCAATCTCTACCTGCCCTCACATGAACTTGTCCTTGTGTCTGTATGTCTTCTCCTCTCCTTATAAGGACACTAGTCATTAGACACCAGCATTTTTGGGCCCAGCACGCAGCATGATTTCATCTTGAGATCCTTCTCTAATTACATGTGTAAAGACCCTATTTCAAACAAGGTCACATTCTGAGGTTCCAAGTGGGCATGCACTTCTGAGTGACACTATCTTGACCCACTACAGCATCCGTCCTGATTCAGTTCTCTGCTTTAGGTCTGACCTCTGCACCTGCTTCCTGCACAGCATCGGAGGGATCCTGCTGAACAAACCACATTCCATCTTCCCCCCTGCTTGAACCAGCCATGGCTCCCTAGTCCCAGATGCTTCACTGCAGCTGACAGTCTGGTCCTTGTTGGTCTCTCCAGTTTCCTCTCTCAGCTGGCCTCTTTCTTCCAACATAGACCCCCACTTTGTATCTAGGCTAAAATGAGATGGGAGCACTTTCAATTTCTTGAATGTACCAGACTCTCTCATCCCCAGATCCCACTGCATCCCTCATGCCCACCTCCCATCTGCTTCAATGAATGGGTCTCAGGTCACATTCCACCCTCTCTGGGAAGCTTATCCTGCGTCCCTGCACGAA